CAAGATTATTAACCAGAAGATAATTGATATTTGGGGGGAAGAGAGTGAAAAAGCCAGCAAGAAGACTGAGAAAAGCTTATCTGAGAGGGAGGAGAGCCAGGGTAGCTGCCAGGGGAGACAAGTGAGGAATTTCAGGAAGAGGAAGGGACCACAATACAAAATACCAAAGAGATAGCAAGTAAGATGGAAACTGAAGAGTCACTTTTTGTGGTGTCTTTTTCAGAATATGAAAACAGAAGCTATATTAAAGTAAATGGAATAAGAAATGAGGAGTGATGAAGAAGAGGAATCACCCATGACCAGAAGGAACTGTTCGCTAACAATAGGCACACAACAATCCTGACAAACTGGCAATTCCAAGCCAAGAGTCAACATCACAAAACTTGGAGAGAAAATTTTCTCACTTTTGTATTGATTTTGTCTTCACGTGAGTTTGGTTTAATCCCTACAGATACTCTTTAGGGTCAGGAAGTCGGGTTTTTGTTAGTTTGGTTTTATTTTTTATTTTTTAGACTCCATCTCATAGGAAGAAACTGAAGCTCAATATTATGTGATTCATTCAAGATCACAGAATCATTAATTGGCATACACTGAGGACTCTCAGCACAGTGCTCTTCCCAACACCTCAGAGAATGTTAAGCAGACTTCAATACAATTTTGCTGAGGCAACCTGACCACACTTCAAAAGGGAGAGCTGCCCATAATCACTTTTTTTGCTGGACAACAGACACGTTTGGCTGCCTGAATGCTTCTATGATAGCTAATAAGGAAGTGAATAATTAAATGCTGTATCTTCTCTTGAGATGACCTGCTACGTGCATCATTTGAAATGTTCCTTTAGGGGCGCCTGGGTGGCGCAGTCGGTTAAGCGTCCGACTTCAGCCGAGTCGCGATCTTTCGCCGGTCATGAGTTCGAGGCAGCGTCAGGCTCTAGGCTGATGGCTCGGAGCCTGGAGCCTGCTTCCGATTCTGTGTCTCCCTCTCTCTGCCCCTCCCCCGTTCATGCTCTGTCTCTCTCTGTCCCAAAAATAAATAAACGTTGAAATGTTCCTTTAATATTAGAGGAAGATTTTAGACTTATCTTACTGTGTCAATGAGAACAAGAACATTTGGTTAATATATATATATGCTCTACTGTTGACTGATAGAACACCCTTCTTGCCAAGCCAGGTAAAACTGAAGTCTGTGGATTAATCAGCCCCAGGCACAACACTGACAATTTCACCATGATGGAGGCAAAGGGAGACCCTAAGCCACTCTCCCTCTCTGAACAGGAGCTCTGCCCTTTCGAATAAAACATGAAAGGAGGTTTCTGTAGTTTTGCCAACTCAGCAAGAGAGAAAATTAACCCTACATTTTCTTATCCCAATTGCCTCCGCATGGGTGTGGAGGGGGGACCTGAGTTGCAGGCTTACAGCCTAAGGGCACAGGGCTCATTGTGAATGCACTCTGGCATGGGCTAGAAGGAATTAGAGTCACCAGATATGAACTCATTTCTAGATTTACCATGAATTTTCTAAGGTTCCCTGCAAGTCCAGATAATTTGGCAGGAAAAAAAAAAAATGTCCTTAAATGATTGCTTCTTCTGTTTAAATTTGGATATGTGTGATAGAAATCACCATTTAAAAAAAAACCAGTTTCAATTATATTAAGTAGAATGCCTCCATTTAATTAATTCACTTAGTCCCTGGGTGACACTGGGTGTGGCTCAGTGAGATTTAGGAGGAATCCAATTTATCACTAGGAGGAAGCGTCTGCACCAAGCGGCAAGGCGGCATCCTTCCACACCTTTCCAGCACTGCAAGGGAAAGGCGCAGTGAGGCTGGAATTCCAAACCACAGCTCACACTCTCTCAGATAAGATTTATTTGTTTTACGAGGAAAAAAGCAGATGTTGGTGGGGTTGAGAGGTGGGGGCCGGGGGTGGGGCTACTTGCTTGCCCCGGTATTCTTTACACTTAGATTGCAATTTAAAATCCTTATTTTTAAACAAAGGAAACACCTCAGTTCTCTGGCTTTGTGGACTCAGATCCCGTCTTGCAAGTTTTTCATCATCTGCAATATGCGTGGTAATTCAGCTATTTAAAGTTAGCCCCAAGATATTTGAAAATCACAAACCAATACAATCTCCAGGATTCTTTTATTTTATTCCTCCTCCGTCCACTCCTTTACCATCCTCTCATTGTCGCCCCATTCCCATTCTCTTCCTGCTCTAATATTCCAGAGTGGTAATTAATGGCTAATAAAGATCATTTACGCTTTCCTCTCACCCACTGGCCATGTATTACAACTCAGAAATCCAAGATTGCTTCTTTATGCGGCTCAAGTGGAAGAGGAAGGAAGTGCAATCACTCCACCCCCTCCCACGTTTCTGCTGGATTTCATGGGTGTGGCAGAGTTTAGACCTTTGCAGGTTTTTGCCCTTGTTTTATTCCCTGTTAAGAACGAGGATGATGAATAGATGGCAGAAGGATAAACACAATCAGGTTCTGCCTTGAATGATATAGGATCATTTCACGCACAAGCAGGAAACCTGTGTGAGACTTAAATACTCACGCTATATAAATGCCAGTCAGTGTAGTATGGAGCCCACGCCCTGAATACACCATTTCCTTCTGTCTGATTTAATGGTACCCTAAATACTGACTTATGTGAATGATACACAACAGTACTCAAGAGGGCACATGACCATTTCACACAGAAGTACACATGTATGAAATGCATGGGTAAATACAATATCTATACCTTTCATTTTCTCTCTCGAATATGAATTATGCTAAGACACATGCGGGCATGTGGAATCTATACAGAGTACATGCATGACTGTTGTACATGGAGTATGCGGATGCTACACGCATTTACATGCGAATTTCTACAACTCCCTAAACACACAATTTCAGCTTTATCACTCTGCACATCCCAGTGAATGCTTGGGGCTGTTAGTGAGATAGAACCCAAGTAAAGGCAGCTGTCCCCTTTTTGGGAAGGGAATTCTTTTAGCTTCAATTCCCTTTCTAAAATTATACTTGGTTTCCTTTGTTGAAGGGGGTGTGTGTATACTTGTATGTGTATACATACGGTGGCAAAAAGTTATAAACCGGTACATTTTTCTATCTGAAATTAAAGCTTTTCTAATGAATAGCATTGGCTTCCTTAGGGCTCCGCCTTCCTAAATTTTATTTCCTCAGCTCACCAGTGGGGTAACCTCAGAACCTTTCCTTGACAGTGTGCTTAACCCAGCCACCTGTATCTATTGCATTTATGTATTAGAATGAAGGGAGACAAGGAAAGGAAATGTCCTGGTTTGAAAAATGAGCCAATGGAGGCATCAATCTCTGGAACCACAGAACATTTTAGGAAAGTGGTGCATGTAAGACTCTCATGCTCTTCTTCAAACACTCCTATAGGATCCACACACAAAACCCCTGGGGTACCTGCTTTATTTATTTATTTATTTATTTAACTTATTTTCCCCATGCCTCTCCACCCTCTGCACCCACTGATCTGCTCTTCTGCTTCTGTTTCCCTTCCCCTCCCTCTTCCTTCTCCATCCTTATCACCCCCCACCCCTCCTTCCAGGGCGATGGCTAAATGTGCAAAGCTGGCAGGCTGTTTCGTCTCCACTCCCCTCCACCCCCTTCGGATTCAGCGAGTGTATTACAAATTGCCCAATACCCAATACCTGTACAGGAATAATGCCCAAATCCTATCTCTTGCACCCCACCCCTATGGCAATCAACCTGCAAAGGGCTTTTTTGACCCAGACGGCCTCCCTTCCCACGAGTATGCACACACACGCGCGCACACACACTTCCCCACACCTCACACCCATTTTTTTTTCTTTCACCTTCGCCAAAATCACTCAAACACGTTCCAATAAATGTTTGAAAGCTTCATTTGAAGAATGCCAGGGCACTGCCGGTTGCTGCAGAATACTGAACTCGTCATTCCTCCCCACCTTCAGCCCAATCAAGTTTCTAAAATGCCTTTCAAGAAATAAGTGAGCAATTTGCCATAGAAGAGAAACCTGGGTAGTGGGGGAGGGAACGAGGGGACTCGGATTCTCGCTAATCCCGTCTGTGTCCCTCTTCCTGATGAAAATGAGTCACCATGCTTATTATCCAAAATGTGATCCCGTCTCCGATCACTGACAACCCCAGGAAAGATGCAAGGGAAGGGAGAAGGGAAAAGACCTGATTTCCAACAGGTAATACTCGGCTCGTCTTTCCCATCCCATCGCAGCCCAAAGCTCCTAGGGGCGTGGTCCACCCTCTCCTCCGACCAGCTGGTGCACAATCGGCTACCGATCTTGGGAAGGGGATTTTCCCCTTCCACACGGCCAATTTCCCTCACAGCCCCAGTCGTCTTTAGCTTCTCTTAAAAAAAAAAAAAAAAAAAAAAAAAAAAAAAAAAAAAAAAAAAATCTCAAACCACAGTTTCATTCATTCATTGAAAAATAAATAAATAAACCCTTCCCAGGTTTTTCCATTAATACCTGCGCCCATTTGAAGCTCCTGCATGGACGAAATAAGGCTTCTTCCGCAGCACATGTGAGAAAATTGTACGACAGAACAAGCAACACTTATTACTGAATATTATTCCTTCACCCCGCTTTTTTGCAAATAATTTAAAGGACTGCCTCCCCATCTTGTAGGTAGAGTCCACATCTTCTCCCCACACCCCTCTCTATATCCACACCCGCAAAACCAGAGACCTAAAACGCTGAACATTCACTAAGAGCCCCCAAAATCTTATTTCTAGCCAAACAGGCATCTTTTTTTCTAACCTCATCCTAATTAGTAGCAGCGTTCCCAGACCAGAGCATGAAAGACAGACTGGAATAAAAGCTGGGATGCAACCATTAGTTACCATATGCTAAGGAAACGCGGGCACCATGGCCAGAGCACAAGCAGTTAAAATATTTTTTCCCCCTGCTTTTACAGGGAAATATTGCAGTCTGGTAATTTCACAACAGCAAGAAGTAAAAATCTTTAGCTCTACCTGTTTGGTTCTTCTCATACAGCACAGCATGGTTGTATCGTCCCTTGCCTTCTTCCTGCCTTCTCTCCTTCCTCCTCTCTCTTTCTTATTCCCCCCCTCTCCACCTCTTTTCTGCTCGCTTGCTCACTCGCTCTCTCGCGCTAGCGCGCTCTCCCTCTCCCTCCCTCCCTCCCTCTCTCTCTCTCCCTCACACACACCAGGGCAGTTAGCAGCAACTGTAAGGTCCACAGCTACTGCTCAACGCACATGCTCGCTCGCTCTCTCTCCCTCTCCCTCGCCGGCTCTCTCCTTTGCCCTCTCTTCCCCTCTTTTCTCCCCTTTCCCCCGTCTATCTGTCTTTTTCTTCCCTTTCTCTTTCTGAGAATTGTTCACTAGCTTTCAATGACTAATCACTTCCCCAGCCCCCACCCCCCTTCTAGACAGGCACCCCCCTCCCAGTCCCCTGCCAGCCTCATGAATATTTAAACATCTCCAATCTGGACCCAATTACCCACCGACTTTCCCACTGCATTGAGAGGATGGTGGGGTGGGGGTAGAGACGGATATTCCAGCCTGTTCTGGAGATTGGATGGAATGTGTTTTAGGGAAGAGGGGCTTGAGAAACGCTTGTATTTCTTTACTAACTCTTCTCTTTTCCGATATCATAAAAGCAAAGAACAGCTATTCCCAATGAGTAGTCAGACCTGTTCCAATATAAGTTATATTTGCTATTTAGATTTTATGTACATTTAATAATGGTGAGGGTGAAGTTCTCTCAAAAAAAAAAATGAAACAATATGTAAATATCATACTGTATGTGTATGCTTCTCAGTATTCATATAATCTAAAATACATATATAAGCTTAAGTATGCACAAAAAACATATCTTACAATATCCTTGAGAAATCCACATGAATATGTAGCATTTTAAACATTCTAAGCACTTGAGTTAAGAAATGATAACCAATGTTTAGGAATTAGCATCCGTATCTAAAATCACATGGTGGTTCTTTTCTGAATGCACTCACACCTGTTTGAAAATTGGAGTTTCAAAAATATTATAAAAAAGGGGGGG